AAGAGCTGGAATCTGAATCCATAATAAGTCAAACAGCTCCATAGTTGACCTGTGTGATATTTGAATCTTCACATTATTCCTGTTTTTAAAAGCATCCACCAACCGCATCAGCTAAAGGCACAGTGAGCAGCCTTTGATGATTTACCGTGAGTTCACCGGCTTTGATGAACGGCCACCAGCCGCGGACGCGCTTCTGCTGAAATATGGAAATCTTGTTCTCCTCACTTGTTTCAGTTACCATGCTTATGTCACAGCGCTTGGCGGACTTGGCAGCTCGGGGGAAGCCGTTCAGGTTCATTTCAAGGGAGCCTGAGAGGAAACAAAAATGAAATTCCACATCACTGAGAGAACTGACTCGATAAAGCAGGTTTTGAACAATATCTTCTGGCTCAGACAAACTTAGACAAGCTCCAAGGGCTGAACTCTTATTAAGAAGAGTATAATTTGCTTGTTGTTTTCTCTAATGATTGCAAAGGTGGTGGGTGCAGGATGGTGCAGCAATGCCCATACTTCCCACACGACGGATGCTGTTGTAGGTATGATGGTGTGTACTTCTGCATGAAACTTACTGGGGGACCTTGGGCTATTCACGTTCTCTCAGCCTAACCTTCCTCACAGGGTTGTTGTGAGGACAAAATGGAGGTGGGAAGCTCTTTGGAGGAAGGGTAGGATAAAAAATGTAGCAAATCAGTAACTTTTAAAAATTCTACCCTTCTTCCAAGAAGCTCAGGGCACTGTACACTCCCTTTACCCTCACAACAGCTCTGTAAGGTACATTAGGCTGAGGGAGAGCGATGGATCTACAGTCACCCAATGAGTTTTGTGGTACAGTGAGGATTCCAACCCATGTCTCTCCAACGTTAGGCTACACCACTAACCAATAGTGGCTGAGGAAGCAACCTGAATCCTCCATATTTAAAGTAACACCCAGTACAAGTAACTTGGGCAGAATGGGGGTGGGGGGACAAGAAGAAGAAGTTTATATGCAGCTTTTCTCTACCTTAAGGAGTTTCAGTGCCGCTTACAATTACATTCGTTTCCACTCCCCACAACAGGCACCTTGTGAGGTAGGTGGGGCTGAGAGAGTTCTGAGAGAACTGCGACTGACCCAAATTACCCAGTGGGCTTTGCGTGGGGGACTGGGGGACTGAACCCCGTTCTCCAGATTAGAGTCTGCTGTTCTTAACCACTACACCTTGTAGAGATGCCAGCCTCCAGGTGGGGCCTGGGGATCCCCCAGAGTTTAAGCTCATCTCCAGACTACAGGGATCAGAGATCCCCCTCAAGAAAATGGCTGCTTTGGAGGGTGGACTCTATGGCATTGTACCCCACTGAGGTCCCTGTCCTCCCCAGGCTCTACCACCAAATTTGCAGGAGTTTCCCAACCTGGTGCTGGCAACCCGACCCCACCCAATCCCCACCAGTAGCCAAGGGGGATCTGGCAACCCTAACACCATGCTGTGGTGGTATAGTTCTATACTTATTAAAACATTTATACCCCACTTTTCCTCATGGTTCAAGGCAGCCCAAATTCCACCTCAGTATTCCACCTCTGACCTTGGCATTTACCATTCTTTCACCATATAATCTGGCATCAGAAAAAGCGTTGTGCCAGTTCTTGTGGCCTTCATTCAAACTGAAATACTTCCACTGGTCCAGACCAGGCCTTACCCAAGAAATCATCAGAAGAAAGCCTTTCGAAGTCCCAGACCTGAAGCACCAATTCTGCCGGTATTTTGCGCTCTGTCTTGTCCAAGGAAAATATGTTCTCTCTCTTACTGACAACCATGTGTTTCTCAGCCGGGAGATAATGGAATGGAAAGACAAAACGCCAGTTGAAGTTCCCTTCTCCAGTCAAAGAGTTGTAATGCACATCCGTCTCCTGGCGGTCATCTTCCAAGCCTTTCAGCCACCTTTTCAGTGCAAGAGAATCAAAGAGAGTCGGGAGGGACCCCCAATGGATAAACTAAGCCAGCAAACAGGAGGATATCTTTTAGGCCTAAACTGATAACGTCTCACATTTTTCAAAGCGGGGATCTGCTTCTAAATTTAGTGTACAGTATAGGGTTGCCAGTCCCTGGTCCGGGTGGGGGTTCCCCCAGTTTTTGGGGCTTCTGCCCACTGCCAGCCAGCTGGATGGCAGGGGAAGCCCCACCGACAGGACGACATCATCCGGAACACTCTGGTTTGAGGGCAAAACTCTATGGTAAATTTGCCCTCAAACTATAGAGTTTTGCCCTCACTTCCGGGTGACGTCATTGCATCGGGGATGTTGCGCAATGTCCCTGCCCCCTCCAGGAACACCACCAAATCCCCCCGCCAGCGACAAGGTAGGACCTGGCAACCCTAGAACGGTGCAAGACCCACTTGCAAAGTAACTTCATGCTACTTTCCCCCTCTCCAGCATAAAATACTAAAATCTCACAAGCCCCCCGTTTTCACTGTCCTACAGTTAGTGCTTTCATGTGCATGCACACTTATTCAGATGGATGTAAATGGATCTGAAGGATGTTATCTGAAGAAGTGCATGCTCATGAAAGCTTATACCCAGAATTAAACTTTGTTGGTCTTAAAGGTGCAACCGGACCAATGCTCCCTCTAAGCTGTGAGCCAAAATTCTACTTTGTGAGCTACCGGCATTAAAGCTGTGAGCGAGCGATTTGGCTACTGCATCAGTTAGTTTGCTCTGGAGCCCTCCTTCCTGAGCGGAGACACAAATGTGTGAGCTGGAGGCTAACAAACTGTGAGCTAGCTCACACTAACTCAGTTTAGATGGAACACTGCACCGGACTCAAACTTTGTTCTAATATTCTGAAGTCTGCTAGAACCACAGTCACAAAACAGGAATAAACCTGGGTATCACTATCCACCACAATTTTGTGGGGTTCAGTGTTGAACCAGGAAGTGGCAAGCAAGACCCAGAAGAGTGACTGCATTATTTTTAAATGCCAATAAACAGCTTCTTTCAAGGGGAAATGCAGCTCAGTTTTGTCGTCACCAGAATATTTTTTCCCTTCATGTTTCTGCTGATTATTGTCTGCAATCATAAGACATGTGTCAGGAATGTTAATAAAGCTGTCTGATGATAAAGTTCCATCAGGAAGCTATTAAAATTCTGTCCCTCTCTCCCCCTTTAAGGAACAAAACACCCTGGGTCTTCAAAACTCTGAATTGTAATGCATTCCCCCAACCATTAACCTTTGCTATCTTAAAAAAACCAAAATACTTTTCTAACATGGTTGCTTCACTTCATTAAAAAATTTACTTTGGATCCACAACTTTTTTGTAACATGGGGCCTCTTGGATGGGCAGTGCCTTGGGGCAAATGCTCCTCTCCTGAGAAGAAGACATCTATATCTGTCAATGCAGAAACAGACAACCAAGAGATCACACCCTTTTGTGATGCATATTGCACACAGCCAAGTTTCAGCACCAAATGAGCGATTCTCTGTCTTCTAAGATACATATACAGGACAGCAAGATTTGAGTCCGGCAACAACATTTCTAGAGTAATTTCTAGAGTCTGCCAACAAGATTTCTAGTGTAATAAACTTTCAAAAGTCAAAGCTCCCTTGGGCAGATACAAGTAGGAATGGGCATTCTACTGTGTATCTGACTAATGTTACCAAGCATGCCGAGGCCTTGGGCGGGGGGGGGGGGGTTCCAGCCTTCCTTCCCACACTGTTTTCCAGAGTTGAAACAGCCACAGGGGTCCCTCTCTGCCCTGCTGTGCCCTGCTGCAAGTGTACTGCCTGCAGCGTGTGGAGCCCCACAGTGAAGCAAACATAACCTCTGCAGCAGTTTCATCTTGGAAAAATGGTGTGGGTGGGAAGGCTGAACCTCCTTCTTCCCATGTGCCACACTCCAAAACCAAATTGGGCCCCGGAATACCTGGGAACATGAGTTGCCCTGATGTCTGCAAGTCCCCCGATTGGTCACATGTTACATGTATTGTCTAATTTGGCCCTCGGTCATCAACCTTCCTTTACATCACAAAGGCACTACTCGTGGGGCCGTCACAGGTATCTGAATACAGGGCTCACTTCTGCAGCCTGCAGCATGTACAACCTAGATGCTGAGGCTGTGTATGAACTAGAACTCTTTTTTTTTTTGCCCCCCAGCACTTTGCTTATGGAAGGACAGGGCCTCTTTTTGTATGTGCATCAGTTCTCTGCCTGCTTAATTCTAGTCAGAGGTGGCATTTCTGATGAGCCTTTGCAGCCAAAATGCCAAGGCTGCAGAGTCGTCATCCGAATGCACACGCAAAACTGGCTCATACTGCCATGACTCTCCTTCTTGATGGATGGCCTTGGGTCACACATTAATTCAGCTGTCGGTGCCAAAATGAGGAGATCCACAGGCAATGCCAGGGCAACCTACCCTTTCACATAGATGTCACTAGATTTCTGTCCTGTAAAGATATTCTCGTCCTCTAAAATGACATCTTCTGTATTCCAGATGATAACTCTTAATTCATAACTGGTAGGAAAGAAAGAAAAAGAACCAATAGAGAATATCAAAATAGCAGGGTAAAAAAAATGTTACTTTCTAATTTGCATGACTTCAGCATGTCTACACTGCAGATACATATTTCAGCTTTATGCCAGTGTAGCTACCATGACTTTCCCCCAAAGAATCCTGGAAATGATTGTTTGGTATGGGTGCTGTTGACAAAGCTGTTCGTGATCGCTAGTCACAGAACTACAATTTCCGGCATTCTTTTGGGTGTAGAAATGATTATTAAATCAATTTTAAGTCAGTAGAAGAAGAAGAGATTGGATTTATACCCCGCCCTTCACTACCTGAAGGAGTCTCAGAGCAGCTTACAAACTCCTTTCCCTTCCCCTCCCCACAACAGACAACCTGTGAGGTAGGCGGGGTTGAGAGAGCTCTGACAGAAACTGCTCTTTTTCAAGAACAGCTCTTATCAGAACTATGGCTTGCCCAAGGTCATCCAGCAGCTGCAAGTGGAGGAGTGGGGACTTAAACCCAGTTCTCCCAGATTAGAGTCCACGCACTTAACCACTACACCAAAATGGTGTAGTATGAATACAGACCAAAAAAAAATTCATTTGTGCCCTCTAAAGTGTAAGGAGGTTGAATTGCAAGTGTAAATAAGCCTTCCTACATGACTATTAATCACTTCAGAAAATGCTATTCTGTTTTTTTCACTTGTGTGCACCAGCAGCCAAGAGAGTGGGGCTGAAAAGCCCTCAAAGAGGCACATGTGGATTTGACAGTAGCTTGAGCATGGCTATAAACTGCTTACTGAAAAATCTGGCTGCATTCTCAATTGCCAGTGACAAGAGTGCAAGAGTCCGGGGTCAAAGGAGTGGGAGTAAGCATTAGGGGTAGGGTATGCACTGCAAGGAGCAGGGGAAAGGTGTTCAGAGCAATGTGTGGATCGGCTGGAAATGGCATGTAAGTTTTTGGAATTTCTCTTCCAACATAGATAGTGCTCCCCATATAAATTGCAGTGTGCCGTGGAGCCCCCTCTGTGACTAGCAGTCATCCCTCCCCCAACCTGCCCTTCCCCTCTATGCAAAGCCAGAGCACACCCTGTGACCGTCCCATTCCCTCTCTGTGCCATATAGACCCTCCTGGAGGCTGAGCATGGTTGCCTAGGCTTTCAAAGCATGGTCCCTCGTTTCACATGACCATATGAAATGGCCCCAGACTGAATCAGACCATACTGAAGAAGAGGAGGTTGAGGGGGGATAGCATTGCTTTCTTTAAGTATCTGAAGGACTGTCCCTTAGAGGAGGGCAGGGAGCTGTTCCTGTTGGCAGCAGAGGACAGGACTCGCAAGAATGGGTTTAAATGAAGGGCGGGAAGGTACCAGATGGATATTAGGTAAAGGTAAAGGTTCCCTTGCTCGAAAGCCAGTCAAATCCGACTCAAGGGTTGCGGTGCTCATCTCCGTTTCAAAGCCAAAGAGCCAGCGCTGTCCGAAGACATTTCAGTGGTCATGTAGTTGTGCAACAGTGAAATCAGCTGCCTAGGGAGGTGGTGAGTTCCCTCTCACTGGCGGTCTTTAAGCAGCATCTGGACAAACACTTGTCAGGGATGCTCCAGACCAATCATGCATTGAGCAGGGGGTTGGACTAGATGGCCTCTATGGCCCCTCCCAACTCTTGGTGATTCTGTGATTCTATTCTATGATTCCATTCCCAATCCTAATGGCCAAAAACCTTTTTACTAGAAGATGCTAAGATCAATTGTTTCCCCCCTCTACTCCACAGTGTGACAACAGCAGTCGAAACGGGGCATTTTCAGACTAGCAAACCCAGCATGAATATTTGCCGTTAGCCAAAGGGGAGCTGGTTTTTCATAAAGGGGAAACAAAGAACAGCAAGCAGGATTGAAAATAAGTGGATATTCTCATTGACTAAAGGCTTCTTTGGGAAACTTCAAAGCTCCTCTGAAACCATTACATGTGCCCTGGTCATACTTTCGATGCTGCCCTAGGTACCTATGAATGATGGGAAATGCAATGATCTCTTACACAGCTTGTAAAATTATACACTAGGTTTTGTGCTCGATGGTGATGTTGGAACGTGCTGTCTAGTCACAGCTGACTTATGGTGACCCCCATAGGGTTTTCAAGGCAAGAGATGTCCAGAGGTGGTTTGCCATGGCCTGCCTCGGCATCATGACCCTGGTATTCCTTGGAGGTCTCCCATCCAAATACTAACTAGGGCTGATCCTGCCTACCTTCCAAAATCTGCTAAGATCAGGCTAGCCTGGGCAGATTTGCACTTACAGATACATTATCACCATTTCTTAAATATAGATATATCGATACATATTTAATATAGAGACATTTAATAAATACATAGATATTAAATATAGATTTCTCTTGCTAGAAAAATCCATAAAGTATAGTTCAGTTTAAAGCTTCTGACTAAGAATTAAACTTCTGTATTGGCTTCTTTAGCATTTAGCTTTTCATTAATTCTGTCTCTTTTTCAGAATAGTGAAAGCTTCAGAGAAGTAATTGATGTACTAATAACTTCTATGAAAATGCCCCGATAACTTCTACAAAAATGCTGCTTTTTAAAAGTCATTAAATCCACACTGAATGAGCCTTGAAGTTTCTTGGCTTTTCATCTCACAGTCTGATCAGTTGGCCTGTTCAGCGCAGCGATATATTTATTTGAAATTATATTGGCCGAACATGCCAAGTTTCCTCATGTTACAGGGCCAAAACTAAAACCTTCATTTGACTTATTTAAATAAGGGTCAGTATGCAAATTTACCGTTTATTCCAGCAGATTCAATTGCCTTAGATTGGTTTAATTTAAAAGTTGGAGGGTTTTTTTGGTGGTGGTGGGGTTATAAGTACTCTCAAAAGTTATAAAGGAAGAATTTTCAGAGTAAAATGGAGGTGTTCAGTCAAGGCTGGAGATGTCTTTCAGATAGCAGGAGATAGCAGATAGTTTCTTTCAGAAAGGCATTGTTGCTGGGGACGGGTGCACTCCTTTCACTTTCGCTCATGTAAACAGACTGAGCAGGTTGCTGTATAGTTTCAAAAGCCTGTCAAACCTGTTTAACTAGAGGCAACAGTGCATCAGAGCTGGGTTCGCTGCTACTGCTCCAATGAGCTCAAACAACTTGGCCCTTAACTCTCTGGGGACGGAAAGAAATAGAGATGTGGCTAGTGAGGGGAAGGAAGATATGCAAACTGAGGAACTGCCTTTGATTCTCTTGTTCCATCACTGGGGAAAATGAGGAATGTTTTCTGTTGCTACATGTCAGAGGTATTGTGTGCAGCCTCTGACTTGGGTGGACCCCGTGCCAAGGCAAAGCCAAGATGGCAACTCTAGTGTCTAATCTGCATTGGTCTTTCCTGCCGCTGTGCCGGCGGTCCCAAATGGTCTCGCAAATCTCTGTCTGCATTGTCGTCTGCATTGTTTGCAACAGCCATTCCTGTATTGTATTGACTCAGCATTGGCTGTCTGCATCATTTTATTGCCCTGTAGTGGTGACTCCGAGGTCCCTACAGTGTTCCACTAGGTTATGTGGATCTGGTTTTCAGCCACAGCAATTGCTCCTTCCCACCCCTGAGCCGCTGTGAGTGATAATAAGACAACTGGAGCCAAATCCCACCCCCCCAGTTTTTCTCCAATCATGTTTCTTTGCTGGTGGGTTAGAAGCACGCCCACCCCAAACCATGTTATTTCCTGGGGCAGTCCCCAGAACGCCCTGCCTGGCAACCGCTGGGTGTTTTGTGTTTTTTACCCAGCTTGTTCACTTTCCAGCCCCCCTCTGCCTCCTCCTCCACCAGGTCACCCCCTTTACTTTCTGCAGCGTGGGTGCCGTTTCCTCCTCACAGCGCAGTGCCCTGCCGGCGCCCCGAGAGGCCACTCCTCCCCCCTCTCTCAGGCACTCTCCCTCCTGCGTGCCCCCGTGGTCACCATGGTGAGGTCTGATGCAGACAGCAAGGTTTTATCCCGAGCCAGGATGGGAGGGAAAGGGGAGCATTGCAATGTACAACAGCGCCACAACAGACCAAGACTGCTTTACGCAGCAGATGCAGATTCAGCCTAGGTCTCAGCTGGTGGTCATCGTAAGTGTAGACCTGGAGATCTTCTGAGTTCTCCTCTGATACCAGATATGGGACAAAAAAAGGTGTGCTGTACATGGGAAGGGAGTCTTGTGGCATGACTGACAGTGACTGACAAATTTGTCACCGCATAAGCTTTTGTGAGCCAGAGCACACTTCGTTAGATGGATGAAGTATTAGCCCTTTGAAGTATTACCGCTCTTGTAGTGCAATTCTAAGAAAAGTCACACCCTTCGAAGGGTCAAGTCATTGAGTTTAGAAGGGTGTTTTTTACCCAGCTCGTTCACTTTCCAGTCCCCCTCTGCCGCCTCCTCCGCCAGGTCACCCCTTTTACTTTCTGCAGGGAGGGTCGTGGGTGCCGTTTCCTCCTCACAGCACAGTGCCCTGCTAACGCCCCAAGAGGCCACTCCTCCCCCCTCTTGCGCACACTCTCCCTCCTGCGTGCCCCCGCAGTCGCCATGGTGAGGTCTGATGCAGACAGCAAGGTTTTATCCGGAGCCAGGATGGCAGGGAAAAGGGAGTAATGTACAAGGGCGCCGCAACAGACCAAGACTGCTGTACACAGCAGATGCAGATTCAGCCTAGGACTCAGCTGGTGATCATCGTAAGTGTAGACCTGGGAATCTTCTGAGCTCTCCTCTGATACCAGATATGGGACAAAAAAAAGGTGTGCTGTACATGGGAAGCGAGTCTTGTGGCAGGACTGGCCGTGACTGACAAATTTGTCACCGCTTAAGCTTTTGTGAGCCAGAGCACACTTTGTTAGATGGATGAAGTATTAACCCTTTGAAGTATTACCACTCTTGCAGTGCAATTCTAAGAAAAGTCACACCCTTTGAAGGGTCAAGTCATTGAGTTTAGAAGGGTGTAACTCTGTTTAGGATTACACTGTTGGTCTCAACAGAACCTGGAAGTGGTTGGCTCACTGCAGAAAGTCTCTCCTTAGAAGTTCTTACACTACTCAGCTTGCTCTGGAAATCCATCACCAGTTAGGAGGGGTCCACAGCCACCCTGGTAGGACTGGTTATTGTTCTTGATTTCATCTGTGCTCTACATAGCAATGGTGCATACCTGTCTCTTGACTGCTTGACCTTCTTGCCTCATTTTACAGTAACTTCCTTTCTTCCTCCTGTCCTCTGTATGTTGCATCCACACACCTGCCATCACTTAGGGTAACACTTCATAAGTTTGAAGAAGGGACCTTTGGCTCACAAAACTGGTAGGGTTGCAACTCCAGACTGGGAAATTCCTGGAGATTTGGGGGTGGAATCTGGAAAGGGTGGGTTTTGGGGAGGGGAGGGAGCTCAGTGGAGTATAATGCTATAGCAACCACCCTTCAAAAGCAGCCGTTTTCTACAGGAGAACTGATCTCTGCCATCTGGAGGTCAGTTGTAATTCCAGATCTCCAGACCCCAGCTGCAAATTGGTAACCCTGCTTTCAGGTGCTGCAAGATTCTTCATTGTGGTCACTTTTCTCTAATTTGTCATAACTGAAAGGGAAATCGAATTCAAACAGAACATTTCGCAACTGTATTTTTTCACCAAGTTTTCTTGGACGCTGTTTTCGCAGCTGCCTCTGAAAACACCGTTTTCGGACAAAGATATACCACTTTTGAACATGGTTAATGGGATACAGGAAATGGAAGATGGGCACTTTACATCATGGATGCTCCATTCACTGCAGGCTTTAACTGCAACATTGCAGAGATGGGAAAAGCCAACACTGATTTAAGCATTCCTTGTGGAAATGGCTGGAGAAAGCATTAGTAACATTGATAGGAAAGCAGAGAGGAATGTGCAAGGAATTACCCTTTAGGTTTTCTAGGTGAGATGTCAACCGGAGGTCCTGGGAGAGGCATATCCTTAGGAAACATGTCCACCCACATCTGCACACGACCCTTTAAGAAATAAAACTAGTTTGATCATCTAGTCTCATTAAAGATTAATTTGTTTTGCAAATACATTCTCAGTAGAAGCAAGGGCAGTGCTGCATCCAGGGGGCTGAGAAAAACCGGGTCGCGGAATGATTCAAAGCACAGCTCGGGAAGAGAGCAAATACTCTGGCTGCAATGTGTGTCTTCATCTCCTTGCAGGTACTTAATCCTGTGTGGAGCTAGAAGCATTCCTGGCAGCAGGAGAAGTGATCTTGCTGGGAGCAAGCTATCAGAAACTGAGTTACGGTGATTCCTAGAGCTACGTGACATCACTTCCAGGTTTTCCCCAAAAGTGACTTCATGCCACGCTAGGGTTGCCAGGTCTCTCCTGGCAAGCGGCAGGGGAGGGGGGACTTACTGGGAGCAGCAGGGAGGCCCATCTGACATACAGCGATGTGTCTACGTCACTGCCCACATGACCTGGAAGTGATGCCATCATATCTGGGACTTCAGGGTGATGCTCTGGCATTTGGGCAAAAACTCTATGGTAAATTTGGCTTCTACTATAGAGTTTTTGCCCAAATACCAAAGCATCATCCTGACATCCTGGACATGATGATGTCACTTCCAGGTCACGTGGGCAGTGATGTGGCCACATCGTTGCACGTTGAATGGTTCCCCCTCTTTTTTGGGGTGAGTTCCCCCCGGCCGGCCAGCTACGGTGGGGAGGTGAGGCCTGTCAGCGGGGAACCCCCGCCTCCACTGGGGGGGTCTAGCAACCCTATGCCATGTATGACACCAGGTTTTTTCCCCTCTCATCATAGTGGGAGGTCTGGCAACCCTAATTTGGGCTATATAATTATTTATTTATTTTACTTAAAATGTTTACCCTGCCTTCGACCCAACACAGACCTCTCTTCAAGCCAGTTCCTAATATTAAACACAAAAAAAATTAAACATAAAATTTAAAAACATAAAAACAAATAAGCACACGTGATAGGAGCTACATGGGCAAAAAGTTATAAATGCAGTCCTTCACTACCCAAAGGTGTCTCAGAGCGGCTTACAAACTCCTTTCCCTTCCCCTCCCCACAACAGACACCCTGTGAGGTGGGTGGGGCTGAGAGAACTCTGGCACAAACTGCTCTTTTTCAAGGACAGCTGTGCCAGAGCTTGTGACTGACCCAAGGTCACATCAGCAGGTGCAAGTGGAGGACTGGGGAATCAAACCCGGTTCTCCCAGATTAGAGTCCGCACACTTAACCACTACACCAAACTGGCCAATAAAAACCAGCAATTTATGTGAAATGTATAAATGAGAAACTCTGAGAGAAACTGGCAGTCTGGTGCTGATGCTGGCAGATCTTTCCTTTATCCCAGGAGTCTTGTTAAAGAGGACAAAATTGTTCTTCCTGCCTTTTCTGTCACTTGGATCATTGTTAGGGTTGCTGGTTTGGGGTTGGGAAATACCTGGAGGTAAGCACACGTGATAGGAGCTACATGGGCATAAAGTTATAAATGCAGTCGTAATTCTGTGTCCACTGTGTTAGCCTGCCCCCGCGGCAGGCAAAATAAGACGTTTTGACTAGTTTTCCACACAGCACTACAGAGACAGGACCATGCTTCTCATAGTAAATACTTTTGTTTCTGGTGGCACAGGAGGACAAAATAAGGCCCCTCCTGATGAGTGTATGGAAAGATGCTTTCTCTTAATATCCTGGCTAGGGTTGCCAGGATATCCAGGTCTTAATATCCAGGTCTGGGTTAGAAAATACCTGGAGACTTTGGGGGTGGAGCCAGGAAAGGGCGGGGTTTGGGGAGGGGCCTCAGCAGGGTACCATGCCATAGAGTCCACCCTTCAAAGCAGCCATTTTCTCCAGGGGAGCTGATCTCTGTCAGCTGGAGATCAGCTGTAAAAGCGGGAGATCCCCAGGCCCCACCTGGAGGCTCAGCAACCATAATTCTGGCTGGGCCCAGGGCATCAAAGGCTTTTATGAGCAAGAGCCGATTAGAGAAGATTGCAGATTTGCTCTCTCTGCTTTTTCCGACTCCTAATTCCCTGTTTCAATTGCTCTTTTCCCTTGTGCAGATCAAACCCACAATTCATTACCCTGCTCCATTTTCAGTTTCCTCACCTGAACTTCCACCTTAAAATGTACTCATTTTCAACATTATTTGTGCACCGATAAAAATCAGCAATTTATGTGAAACGTATAAATGAGAAACTCTGAGAGAAACTGGCAGTCTGGTGCTGATGCTGGCAGATCTTTCCTTTATCCCAGGAGTCTTGTTAAAGAGGACGAAATTGTTCTTCCTGCCTTTTCTGCCACTTGGATCATTGTTAGGGTTGCTGGTTTGGGAAATACCTGGAGATTTTAGGAGTGGAGCCTGGGGACGGTGGGGTTTGGGGAGAGGATGGACCTCAGCCAGGTATAATGCCACAGAGTCCACCCTCCAAAGCAGCCACTTTTTCCAGGGGAGCTGAGCTTGGTCATCGGGAGATCAACTGTAATAGGGGGAGATCTCCAGGGCCCACCTGGAGGTTGGCAACCCTACCCACTGGAGCCAACCGACTGCGTATGATAGCTGCGCAACACGTGTATACAACACCAAACAAATCTGCAAAACCAAACCTGTAAAACTGTTGATATAAAAACAAATTCCTAGTGCTGACAATGGGAACTGAGCCAGGAAACCCATTGGTAACCACAACACCCATTCAGCATCTCTAAATTGTGAGATGCTATTAACTTTTGTTGTTGTTCAGTCGCACAGTCGAGTCCAACTCTTCGCGACCCCATGGACCAGATCACGCCAGGCCTTCCTGTCTTCCGCCGTCCTCTGAAGTGTGCTCAATTTCATGTTCGTTGCATCGGTGACACTGTCTAACCATCTCATCCCTTGCCGTCCCCGTCTTCTTTGACCTTCAATCTTTCCCAGCATCAGGGTCTTCTCCAGTGAGTGCTCCCTTCTCATTGGGTGGCCAAAGTATTTGAGCTTCAGTTTAATTATCTGGCCTTCCAGGGAACAGTCCGGGTTGATTTCTTTTAGGATTGACTGATTTGATCTTCTTGCAGTCCAAGGGACTCTCAAGAGTCTTCTCCAGCACCATAGTTCAAAAGAATCTATTCTTCGGCGCTCGGCCTTCCTTATAGTCCATGTCTCGCAGCCATACATGACTACTGGGAATACCATTGCTTTGACCATGCGGACTTTTGTTGGCAGGGAGATGTCTCTACTTTTTATCATGCTGTTTAGGTTCGCCATTGCTTTCCTCCCAAGGAGCAGGCGTCTTTTAATTTCATGGCTGCTGTCACAGTCTGTGGTGATTTGGGATCCCAGGAACGTGAAGTCTGTCACTACTTCCATGACTTCCCCTTCTATTTGCCAAGGAGGTTATTAACTATCTATTAACTAGGGTTATCCAATGTCCTCTTTTTAGAGGACCTGTCCTCTTTTTTTGGTGTCCCTCCTCTTTTGGGCTTTAAAAAAACAACTGAGGAAAATGTCCTCTTTTGGGGCTGGAAGGTTAGGACTATTCCTAGTTAGTAGCAATTACCACAGCTTAGATAGTAGGGGTATTTAAAATGAGATTCGTCATAGCGATCACTTCTTTGAAGCAGTCAGTCAGGAAATATGTCTTCTCTTTTTGCTTTTCAAAATATGGTAACCCTATATTAACTGTAGCCCTAACTGGCCGCAAGATTAAGGTGGAGCCAAGATCTTCACAGTTTCCCCCCCACTAATCCAGGTGGAAGAATTTACCTGCTCCATGCCAGGCTTATCCTTGTGATAGATAGGCCGAGTCTCAATATGTTCAGGCACCAGCTTACAACCAACCCCGGGGATTTCATTCCAGGAGCGTAAAACCTTTAGTGCGAGGTGTTCATATGATTCAACAGGTTCTTCTGCAAGAGAAAGGGCAGTGAGAAATCGAGTTTGCACATTAAGGTACTGATTAATGCAGCTGCGTCAATTAGCACAGGTGCTCGTTAAAAAATCTGATTTCTATAAAGGTGCTTTTGATGACTCCAAAGGGAGAAACGCATAAAGTATACTCCGTGCTCGCGTCTGGGATTACCCCATGGAACAGTAAGAAAATAAAGTTAATCTTTAGGAGGCTGTGAATCATTGCAAGCAAGACGACCTGGCTGAGCTAAGGCAGTCCAGTCCTATAAAGATGTCTATACTCATGGATGATTTGCTGAGTTGGAAATGATGGGCATAAATTGGATGTTTGTTGGGACAGGGCATCTGAAGACACACTGCAGCAAATGAAGATGCAGTCTCTCCACACCACATTACTTTGATTATCATGCTCTGAACGCTTTCTGGTGTGCATCTTCTTCCCAATTTTCATGCAACTGATCTCGCGCTGTCGTTTTATTTGAGAGCTTTTAGAGCTGGATTAAGACCACAGGCTACGAATTTTACTGAAGAATTTTGCTTTCTTGTTTCTTTAGATTCCCCCCTTTCTCTCAATCAGTTATTCTCTATAATGATAATGATTATCTTATTGACATAGATAAATATCAAAGACTGCTATCTCATTATTATTAGTGTCGCTATTTATTTAGATATTTATACCCCACGTTTCTCTCCAATAGGAACCCAAAGCAGTTTACATCATTCTCCCCTCCTCCAGATTATCCTCACAACACCCCTGTAAAGTAGGTTAGACTAAGAGTGTGTGACTACCCTAAGTTCACCCAGAAAACTTGCATGGCAGAGGGGTTATTGGAACCTGGGTGGGTCTCCCAGATTCTAGTCTGACACTCTAACCACTTACGGCATGCTGTCTCAGTGAAAACTAGCAGTTCAATTTGAAACAGAATGACTCCCTTCTAGGTCCATTAATGGTAACTCTATTTAGAATTGCACCAAAAAGTATTCAAGGTAACAAGAAGAGCCATGTTGGACCAGACCACAGGTCCATCAAGTCCACTATGCTGTTCACACAGGGGCCAACCAAGCTGCCTCTTGGACACACAACTTATTTATTATTTATTTATTTTTCATATTTATATCCCGCCCTCCCCAGTGGGCTCAGGGCGGCTAACAAGGGCAGGCCGTTTGCCATGCCATATATAAAAACATGTAAAAACTTCATAATCCGGGGGTGATTTTCAATTTCTCTTCCAAGCTGCTTCAACCTCGAAACTGCCCATTTTTTGTCTCCTTCGGGCAAATCAAATCTCTGATTTTAAAGAATTTTCATACAATTTTCTATTTGCATTTTTGCTTAGTCAAAGGTATGCTTTTCCAACATCGCTTCTGCATCAACAAATTCCCATTTACTTCTAGCCTGAGAACTGTTTTGTGCGAATTGTTTCAGGCTGTTAAATGCTTTATGATGATTTTATGCTCTGGCTGGGGTTTTAATTGTTGGGGTTTTAATAGCTGAGTTTTACCAATGGGTTTCTTCATAGGGAACACTTTCCCTATGAGAAAAGGTTAAAACGCTTGGGGCTCTTTCGTTTGGAGAAACGACGACTGAGGGGTGACATGATTGAGGTTTATAAGATTATGCATGGGAAAGAGCAGGTAGAGAAAGAGGTACTTTTCTCCCTTTCTCACAATACAAGAACTCGTGGGCACTCCATGAAATTGCTGAGCGGTCGGGTTAGAACAGATAAAAGGAAGTACTTCTTCACCCAAAGAGTGATTAACACATGGAATTCACTGCCCCAGGAGGTGGCGGCGGCTACAAGCATGGACGGCTTCAAGAGGGAATTAGATTAGCATATGGAGCAGAAGTCTATCAGTGACTATTAGCCACAATGTATAGATAGGGACTCTCAGTCTGGGGCAAGTGATGCTCTGTATTCTTAGTGCTTGGGGGGGTTCAACAGTGGGAGGGCTTCTAGTGTCCTCCTGGCCCCACTGGTGGACCTCCTGATGGCACCTGGTATTTTTGGCCACTGTGTGACAGAGTGTTGGACTGGATGGGCCATTGGCCTGATCCAACACTGGCTCCTCTTATGTTCTTATGTCAATTTTTAGTGATTTTTATGCTGTTCTGTGATTTGACCGTGTTTTTACTTTGTAAGCCACCTTGAACGTGTTCTCTGGAGAAGTGGCATAAAAATTAATTAAATTGGGGTCCCCAACACGGTGCCCGTGGGGATCATGGTGACCACCATCACCTTTTAAGGAAAGTGGGTGGGGCCAGGTGGGGCTCTTGCCCAGCAGGGTCTCTGATTGGCCACTGGAGATCTGATTGGCTGTGAAGATTAAAGCAATGTTGTTTCAGTGGGAGCTGCCACCACAGTGTTGGGGTTCATTCTCTCCCACCCCTCTTTCTCAGTGTATTTTGTAAAATTATCCCTCTTCTCCCCTGCCGTTGGGCTGCTTCTGTGTATATGGTTATTTCTTCCACAGCAGTTATTTTGTAGTTGCGCTACTCTCCTATGTAAGAATTCCAAAGGTACCCACAGGCTCAAAACGTTTGGGGACACCTGAAATAAATCATCATCACCGTGTCTTCTAGTTATATTATACAAACAAACGATGTACGTTGTACATATAAATTGCATATAAGAACCATACACGTGCATACAGAATGCAAACAAACCTACTAAACCCACAGCAAAAAAGGGGGGAAAAAGATAACCGAAATTGTTATCAAAGATAAACAAATATAAGATGAAATTAAACTTTTGCTCATCCCTATACGGAAACAGCATTGCCCAGGGAACCGTCGCCTACTGCATTTGCGCAACAAATGTCAACAATTGTCTTGAATATCTGGAGGCGTGAATATTCCTTTTACACTTAATTACTCTTAAAGCGGGTCCTGCTGTTGCTGATTATGCTTAGCAGGAACAAAATTAAAAGAATGTAGCATATATATATCTCCTGTTGTCAATGGATATTATAAAGATTTGGATCCTGATAATAACAGACTACAGACAGTATAATTACCGTTCTCATCTTCCTGGAAGACTGTCTGCCCTGTAAAGACTTTGTCCCCTATTTGAATCTTCCCAGGTTGCATGTAGGGCCCGTTCAGTCTGTTGTCCTTGCACAGCTTGGTTAGGATCTCAGTTGGCTTGGTGGCATCTCGCCAAGCATTGTATCCTTCACTGCAAGTCAGAGGCAATGTTTTTAGAAGGGGATAAAGCTCAGGATTGTGATCTGTTTTGTATGACTGTGGGCTCAACTAGAAGATAGGTGTCCAATGTTCCCTCTAAGCCGTGGAGTCTCATGAGCAAAAATTCTACTTTGTGAGCTCCTGGCATTAAAGTTGTGAGCGAGCAATTTGGCTGCTGCATAAATTAGTTTGCTTTGGAGCCCTCCTTCCTGAGCTAAGATAAAAATGTCTGAGCCAGAGGCTAAAAAAACTGTGAGCTAGCTCACACTAACTCAGCTTAGAGGGAACACTGGGTGTGACACGAATCAGATCAGGGGTCCCATGTAATAACTGCAGCACTTTGAGCCCCAGAGTGGACCAAACAGGGCTCCCCAGTGGCCATTTTGGCTTGGGAAAACAGTGTGGAAGGGAAAGCTGAAGCCCCTCCTCCACCCACACTCTACTCAGGAACCAAATTGGGCCCCCACGGTACTTGCAAATGTTAGGTCCCCAATCTTTCCTGTGACACAAGTAAGGTCAGGGACTAGGGATGGGCACGAACCAGCTCACGAAAGCAAGCTCCGTCCTTCAGTTTAACTGTTATAGCGGAGAAATGGATTCATTGACTCATTTCATGGGAAACAGGCCACAGTTCCGTTGGTGTTCAGTTGAGAGAGGAGCTAGTTCAAGAACCCTTTGGCTGTGTCTGACTTGTATGGGGGGAAAAACCCCAGCTGATACGAAAAAAGGAGGAAGGACTTTGGGATCCAGGAGATGGACAAGGAGTGACTGGTGGGTATACTGGTTTGACCTCTCATTAGAGTTACCAGCTACAGGCCAGGAAATACCTGGAGATTTTGGGGGTGGAGCCTGAGGAAGGTGGGGTTTGGGGAGGGGAGTGGCCTCCGTGGGGTATAATGCCATGGAATCCACCCTTCAAAGCAGCTATTTTCTCCAGGGGAACTGGTCTCTGTAATCTGGAGATCAGTGGTAATTCTGAGAGATTGTCAGACCTCACTTGGAGGCAACCCTGGACCTTGACACTCTGGACCTCATACAGGGCCTTCCTTTGACAGCCTATAGCTTCCACTAGAAGCTTCTCTGCTGGCTGGTCATTAAATAGCGGCTAACAGACCGAGTCTCCCAAGAGAAGCTTACATTTCATATTGGCTTTGCAACCCGCAGTTGGCTCGGTGCCTGCTGTAGAAACGGTTTTCCAAATCAATTTTCGTTTCTCCAATTAGGTCATCTGAACCAATCATGTCATAGTCGTAGATCAAGACTGAAAGCAGGGATTCCTTGGGGAAAGTTGCCTGAAGTTCAAAGGACCTAGTCCAAAAGAAGATTGATACAATTATGTCAATCATACCCCGACAGCTGAAACCCTAAGCAAACATCTGGAAATGATTCTAAACAAACTCAGTGGAACTGACACCTATGTACAGATGCTCAGAACTGGGAAACCGTACCGAGCGCAAGTTTTATTGTTGAACCAAAAGCATCGTTTCAACACTTACAAATGATTAAAACAGCAGGAGTTTTTTTGCCATCAAGTTGCAGCTGACTTACGATGACCCTGTAGGGTTTGAAAGGCAAGAGACTTCCAGAGGTGGCTGCCATTGCCTGCCTCTGTGTAGTGACCCTGGTATTCCTTGGTGCTCTCCCATCCTTTCCTTTTCCTTTCCTTTCCAAATACGGACCAAGGGTAACCCTGCTTAGCTTTTGAGATCAGGCTAGCTTGGGCTATCCATGTCAGAACAAAACAGCAACTTAGGACAGTAGAATTCAAGGAACGTTATTGTGTGGAAAGAACCAAAAATGCTGTGTAAAGTTTACCAAATGCATACAAAACATGTTAGCAATGGGTCTGGATGGAGAGGATAATGTTTAGCAATAAAGTTGGTTAAAGTTATAAAGAGAAATTGGTGGGATTTTGTTTCCAGACGTTTTTCTCTAAAAGGAAACTGGCAGTTCAGGGAGGAGACCCTTTTGTTCTGGGAAAACAGCAGAGCACGAAAAGTTTAACCCAGGCTGCTGCGGCGCATGGACTTAGTCTGAGTTGGACCCTACCCATGGCTGCTTTTAGCCTTTAAAAATGTGGGAAATATTAATTATAGATCACATCTAATTTGGCCCTAGCTGATCTATGAAACACATGAAACTACCTGATACTGGATCACACCCTTAATCCATCAAAGTTAGCATTGTCCAGTTACCAGGCAGTAGGTGATGTGAAAGACCTCAGCCTGAGACCCTGGAGAGCCGCTGCCAGACTGAGTGGACACTTTGGAGTCTTTACTGAGTCAGTCCAGCTCTTGTTGGGTCTTGAAGTCAATGGTCGAATCTGCATTTGTCTTTCCCACCGGTGTCCCAGCCTTCTGACACCGTCTTTAAAAAAGCTGTCTACATTTGGCGTCCTTTTCACACCTCAACAGTGCTAGCATACTTTTGCACGTCCGCATATGTTTATTGCCCTTTCGTGGCGGCTCCACTGTCATTGCACCTCTGCACTGCTTTAAAAGAATCTTCTCCAAACAGCATTCAAACAAGCATAGAGAAAGACGGCGTCACAGCAGCATGAAACTGATTTAAAAATGCAAATGCAGGTTCGACCAATGTTCTTAAACCCTGGTTAGGATTCCACTGTTACTATCTTTACTTTGGAGAACCGGGCTCAGTTTAACCCACAGATTCTGATAGTCGTTTGTTTTAAGTAGGGGCTTCTGTTCGCTGTATCTGTTCTCCTGTCTTCCTTTTCCTGTTCTGAGCTGCCTAATGGCTGGCGGAATTCAGCTGGAACCTGAAACTCACACATTCTAGCTACAGAACAGTTGCGAAGCTTAACTAATAGTTTCATTAACATAAATAGACAAAGTCATTTGTGCTATTATACAAGGAGCGATGAAACAACAGAAACTAATCCTGGGAGATGTTGGACTTGCATGAAAATCGAATTTGCAATCAGACAGTGTGATACTGATTGTCAAGAATTTAATCAGTAAATTATAAAGCATCTCAAGAGATGTGCATCAATGCATTAACAAATGTACTTTGTCCCAAATAACAGAGGCAGCAGGGAAAATGAAATATGTGCAGCTAATTTGTTAAGTTTAGGGTGTCGCACTCAATTAAATGAACTCACCTTCCGAAAACTGGGTTTAGCTGCTTAGGAATGTACTTCTCTCGGTCTTTAATTTCTGTGTTTCCCAGTTTAAGTACAATATAAGGGTCCGATTTACCATCTGGATCAGCTGGACTAAGATTAAATGCCTGCAAAAAGAGGGAAAGGATTTTCTAATAAGGAAGCCAGGACATTAAATAGGAGGTGGTATAGTACTGTGAACACAGGCAGTTTATACTGAGTCAGAATAGCGTTGCGAGCTCTGGGTTGGGAAATTCCTGGGGGTGGAGAAATTCCTGGGAGTTGGGAAATTTTGGGGGTGGAGCCTCTGCAACAGAGACCTACAAGAGAATTGTGGGAAGTGATAGGGGATCTAACTTGTACTTCCACTTTCTCTCTATTCCTTCATAAATTTTGAACTGACACTAGCCAAGGAAACAGAGTCCAGCCTATTTCGGGAACATAAGTAAATTAAGGGTCAAACATGATGCTGGAATTGTGTGAATGGAACTCCAGAGGTCTAATTCAGTCTTAAAAGTAATTCATTCTTAACTCTTCCACCCTTATCAGATATCTGCCTCACAGTTGCTGTAATCCCCAACAGAGAAAAAAGACAAATGCCCATATTGTGCCCGTCTTTTTTCCTTTACTTAGGCTTCAGTCACACACACTCAATAATCCACTTTCAATGCACTTTCCAACTGGATTTTTACTGTGTGAACTGGCAAAATCCAATTCAAAAGTGGATTGAAAGCGGATTGTTTAGTGTGTGTGACCACAGCCTTAAAGAACCAGATGGCGGAGATTCCTGATCTGGGAAAAGGGCAGGGGGGAAAGTGATCCACTCTGTCCCCAGTAGTGTGGTCCTGATCCAAGACCAGCCCCCCGTGCTGGCTTTAGGGCCAAGTTATGTATCTGGAGTCAAGCATCACTTATGGTTTGGCCCTTATTTAATGTTAAGGTTGTACATAAAATTACACTTACTGCCACAACGTATACTCTGATGAGGACTTTCACAGAGTGATTTGGGGGTATTCCCTGAAGAATCTTTGGCTGGCCTTCTCCAGAGCAGCAGTCGTCTGGATTTTTGTATAGGCAGAAACAGCCCTGTTGACATACAGTTATGAATATTTCTTTATTAAGCCCGAAGCGAGAAAGCACAGGGAAAATGTCACATGTTGAATCAGTATTTTGCAAGCCGAAAGGGCCCGGGTAGGTGAGGCCCGGGCGGGGCGGGGGACGAGGCTGGCCAGTCGTCAGGCCAGGGGAGGAGGGGCCAGGTGAGTGGCAGGAAGGTAGGCGCCTCCCCTCCCTCCCCGGACCAATCGCTGGGCAGCGGAGTGGCCAGAGGGAGAGGCCCGGGTATACGTGACCCGGGTCGCTCGCCGTCCTCACCCCCTTTTCTGTCACGGTGGGAGCTGCTTGCCCACCCATCCCTCTCTGTTTCTTGGGCTTTGGTAAGGGTTAGGACTTAACAGGCGAGGTTACTGTAGATGGGGTTGCAGGTCATTCTGGGTTGTGTGTTGTTAGTTTCCAATATTTAGTTCCAGGGTACACAGTTCGTCACAACTCTCGGTGGTGACAGCATGGGGCTGGATTCATTTGGCGGTAATTGGCCTGCGTGCCATTTTTCGGAAGCAGGGACCCTTGTAAGGGTCTTGGCATGAGGGCTGAAGGGAACAGGCAAGCGCAAGAACTAACAGCGATGGCCCTCACCCCCAGGTGGCAGGGGAGTTCACACAAGGGCAGGTGTCCAGGTGAACCCTGGCAACCTGCCATCCCGCAGACTCTACCCATGCCGGCTGGCTGGGTAACGGATACCTCGGCTGGCAGACGGGTCAGCCAAAGGGTCGGATCCGGTGGACCCATGCTGTGCCAATGCCTATAACAGCTGTAATCAATTAAGTTGTGGCCAATTTTATCCACCTAATTTCCAAAGCAACTGTGTGTGAGTGGTCATTTGAACATGGCAGTATAAGGCTGGCCAAGCCTCTCCATCCCCAAATAACGACCTGGAACCGCAAATGCATGCAGCCCTTAACTCAAAATGAAACCCTGTGTTATTATCCCAGCCCTCCATTTTATTTCTTGTAAATGATTATTGTTTGTTTATTTCCGAGACATTTTGAGAAATGTTTTCAGGCGTGTAACCGTTCGGCATTGCCCAAACACCAGTGCTCAAATCTTTAGACTAGTTCAACTGAAATGCTCTTCCTTCCTGCAGTGGAGTTGTCTAATTCAACACCATGATCTTAGATCCAACCATCCATTGGCCTATAGAGAGGGTGGATCTATATTGCACCACCTAGTAAATGAGGAACAGACTGGCTCTATTTCAGGAGGAAGCAAATTTTTCAGCCTGAGGGTCACATTTGAGTCTCTTCAAACACCAGATCTCCAGTACTAGTAGAGAGAGAAAGCCATTGGCCAATCTGGTGCCTTCAAAAGTGCACTCTCTCCCACTCTGTGCCTCCTAATGTCCCTTACTACCATCCAATCCTCAAATTGTTTAATGGCTTTTCAGAAACTTTGTCCCACTAACTGATGCTGCAGTCTGGTGACTCGATGCTTCCAACAAATCTTGAGTCATCTTGAGGGATGGATTAAAAGCTCCTGCAAGTCCTGATGTATTCCCCAGGACCTAAATTTCCTTGAGATTTTCATTCTTTTTTAGGGGTTTGTGCTAGCCTACCCCATATTCCCAATGAAGTTGTAAGATCTGTAACATGATCGATGTCTGAGGGCTTTTCCGCATTTTCATTTTTGTTAGCCTTTAAGGCAGGGATGTCAAACATGCGGCTGGACCCCGGACTGGTTCTATCAGGCCTGCATTGGAACTGGCTGTCTTCGGCTTCTTCTTCCAGTTCTGCTGCTGCTGCATCATCGTAGGTTTGCAGCTTACAGATACACACCTGAACAGCATACTCAAGATTGCAACAGCACAGACATTTTGATGCAATAATTCAGAGCAAGAGGTGTCGGTTATCAGACACTGTTAAATAAACAAAATATTGCAAGAGTGCTAATGTTTTAAGCATGTTTTTATTTTAAGTTAAAAAAAACCTTTGTGTTTGTGTCCTTTATAAAGTTTATATCTCCGCTACCTGGCATTACGTTTTATGACACACATGAAGGTCTTATTTATGTCAGATACAGCCCTCATAAAGAATGAGTTCGACACCCCTGCTTTAAGGTGCCACTGGACTCTTGCTCTTTTCTACTGCCACAGACAGACTAACCTGGCTACTCATCTTGATCTAAAAATGTTGAGAAACACAAATTTCCATGCAGCATAGATTTTTACACTCCACATGATCTCTGGTCAGCTTTTATTCATACCTTAAACTTCCCTATTATCCTTTCATCATAGTCCCCGTGATCTTCATCATTAGACTTGCCTCGGAAGAGTTCGAAGGTTTTCACCCAGTCTTCAAAGTTGTTAAATTCACTCTCCAGATCTCCATCATAAATCTTTGGGAAAAGATTGGTCCAACATTCAGCATTACAAAGTAATAAAGGGCCAGCTTTTGCATTGTAATTGGTACCCTTCATCCACAAACGTATCTGCTGAAGCTCTGACACCTATTTCCCAGGTCAGCAGAGAAATCTGAATTAACCGAATCTAAAATCATCTTAATGAACTCTACCTCCAGCGTTGCTAGTTTGGGGGAAGCTTCTTTCACTTTCTTCTTGACCAGTTTATCTTTCCTCTTTCTGTCTGGTTCATCTTCAATGCTTAACGTTACATGGCCACCAGTCTGTGCTGCTGTGAAGATGAATGAATGCTTTTTACAGATGCAGTAGTTTAATCAAAAAACAATTCTCAAGGTTGCCATTACTTTGGAGTCTTGTAGTAGTTATAGTGGTTGATTTATTATTTGGTAGAACTCTCTCAAACTACCAGCAGGATGGTCATAGAACCATATGGACTGTGGTCTCTATACACAGCATCATACAGACTGTGTTTAGCTTGCTGAAACCAGGGTCCTATTATGTAAATCTTGCATCATTTCATGTGTCATGTTAATACTTTGCTTCAGTTCTGTTTTTAGATTTCTGATTGGTTCTACAGTCCTTGTTGTATTTTTATTGAATGTCCTATCCTGTTGATTGGACCGACTGAATTAACCGAATCTAAAATCATCTTAATGAACTCTACCTCCAGCGTTGCTAGTTTGGGGGAAGCTTCTTTCACTTTCTTCTTGACCAGTTTATCTTTCTTCTTTCTGTCTGGTTCATCTTCAATGCTTAACGTTACATGGCCACCAGTCTGTGCTGCTGTGAAGATGAATGAATGCTTTTTACAGATGCAGTAGTTTAATCAAAAAACAATTCTCAAGGTTGCCATTACTTTGGAGTCTCGTAGTAGTTATAGTGCTTGATTTATTATTTGGTAGAACTCTCTCAAACTACCAGCAGGATGGTCATAGAACCATACGGACTGTGGTCTATACACAGCATCAGACAGACGGTGTTTAGCTTGCTGAAACCAGGGTCCTATTATGTAAATTAGGCATCATTTAATGTGTCATGTTAATACTTTGCTTCAGTTCTGTTTTTAGATTTCTGATTGGTTCTACAGTCGTCCTGTTGTATTTTTATTGAATGTTCCATCCTGTTGATTGCACCAACTCACTATGTGTTGATTGTATTAAATGCACTCACACCTTGATTCCAAATGAGAAAGGCCGATTATAAGTAATGTAGGCCCCGGTCACACGCGAGGATTTGGGCCGGGAGAGGGACGGATTGGATGCGCGGCAAATGGGCGCGATCCCACGGCAACAACTGGGAAGCGTTGCCCGCCTGTCACCGATCCATCCCTGTCAGCCCAAAACCCCGCACCAAAAAAGAACCACCTACCTGGGTGGTTCATCCGGAAAGGCCGTGGCAAGTGCGGCCGTGGGATTGCCGGCGCGTCCTTTCGCCGGCGCATCCCCGGCTCCTGGCCGAACTGCGCATGTGTGAGCATGCGCAGTTCGCCAGCCTCCCCCTCCCACCGTCGCTTTCTCCCCGGCATCTGATCGTGCCGGGGAGCAACGGCGCCGTGGCTCAGGGGATCCGTGGGATCCCGCCGCGGCGTCTCTAGTTTGGTGCGGCTCAGATTAGCCGCACTTCTGCCGTCGTTTTTCCTGCCGTGCGGCAGGGACCGTAAATAAATAAATATAGGTGGAAAAGATTACTGATCCTCTAGTTCAGTCACAGAGAAATAATTATGTAAGAACGTAAAAGAATTTCTCATATTTGCAGGTTCAGCTTGAATTTTGATAGTCTTTTAAGCTGAGAGATGAACAGATTCAGTCTACAGACAAATTCTGACAGAAAAAGGTAGATATCAGGACTGATTCCTTCTTCAAGGTTTAGGGATTAAATACCGTTTTGGTGTAGTGGTTTGGTGTAGTGGTTAGGAGCGGTTTGGTAGTGGTGAGGAGCGCAGACTCTAATCTGGGAGCAATGAGTTTGATTCCCCACTCCTCCACATGCAGCTACTGCTGTGATCTTGGGTCAGTTACAAGTTCTTTCAGAGCTGTCCTCTCAATGGCAGTCCTTGGGAGAGCTCTCTCAGCCCCATCTACCTCACAGGGTGATTGTTGTTGTGGGGAGGGGAAGGGAAAGGAGATTGTAAGCCGCTCTGAGACTTCAGGTAGTGAAGGGCCATGGGGTATAAATCCAATCTCTTCTTCTTTTCGGACATACACCTCCCCACACATGGAACCCAAGAAAGGGCCAAGCAGGCCTCCTCTGTAGCTGTTTCCACAGGAAAAATAACACAAGAGGGAAGCCTGAAGCCCCTCTCCTCCCCTCTCAGTGCTCCTGAGCAGAATGGAACAACACAATGCTCTGAAGCCGAGTTCCCTGATGATCATAAAGGTAAAATGTGCCATAAAGTCGCAACCAACTCACAGAGACCCCTCATGGGGCTTCTAAGGCAAGAGAGAACATAAGAACATAAGAGATGCCAATGTTGGATCAGGCCAAAGGCCCATCCAGTCCAACACTCTGTGTCACACAGTGGCCAGAAATACCAGGTGCCATCAGGAGGTCCACCAGTGGGGCCAGGACATTAGAAGCCCTCCCACTGTTGACCCCCCCCCAAGCACCAAGAAGACAGAGCATCACTTGCCCCAGAGCCCCTATCTATACCTTGTGACTGATAGCCACTGATGGACCTCTGCTCCATATGCTTATCCAATTCCCTTTTGAAGCCGTCCATGCTTGTAGCCGCCACCACTTCCTGTGGCAGGCAGTGGAGCAGAGGTGGTTGGCCATTGCCTTCCTCTGCATAGCAGCCCCAGTCTTCCTTGGTGGTCCCCCATCCAAGTACCAACCCTGCTTAGCTTCCAAGTCTGATAAGATGAGGCTAGTTTGGGCTATTCGGGCTGCTTCCCTGATCATCCATGTGACAAAAAAGTTGGATCAAACATATCGTGTATTTTGACTTGGAGGCTGCAATCCTACAGATGCTTAACCTGGAAATAAGTCCCACTGAATGAAATTGTATATAACTTCTAAACAAAAGTGTGCATAGGATCAGGCTGCGTAACAGTCAACGAAGAGGGAGAGAGTCCATTTCTCCCCAGTCCTTGCTCCCCTGCCTGCCAGCAGGCAAAACTGAAGTCTGGTTCAGAATACAGAAGTGCACACGGAGAAGGGAGAGAGAAGGCAGCAGAAGCTGTGGCTGTATTGCCTCCTGCTTACAATTCTTTGTCTGCTTGCTTCAGATACCACTGGCATGTGAGTGAGCAGTGACTCATGAAAGCTCCTATCGTGCCACAAATTCTGTTAGTTTTTAACTACTGGACTCTTGCTCTTTTCTACAGCTAAAAGGTAAAGGTAAAGGTTCCATTGCTCGAAAGCCAGTCGAATCTGACTCTAGGGTTGCGGTGCTTATCTCCGTTTCAAAGCCGAAGAGCCAGCGCTGTCCGAAGATGTTTCCGTGGTCATGTGGCCAGCATGACTAAACACCAAAGCGCAAGGAACGCTGTTACCTTCCCACTGAAATGGTACCTATTTATTTACTTGCAATGTCTTGCTTTCGAACTGCTAGGTTGGCAGGAGCTGGAACTAGAGACGGGAGTTCACTCCGTCATGCGGCAAATCGGGTCTCAAACTGCTGAACTACTGACCTTCCACAGCCTGCAGTTCAGCGTCTTAACCACTTGAGCCACTGCAGCTCCAGACAGCCTAACACAACTACTGATCTTGATTTGTCTGCTTAGCTTCTCTAGACGTTAGCATCTTTGGAAAATCAAAGTCCTGGTTAATTTCAGCAATTATGTCTGCCAGATTTCCACTGTGGTCACCAGTAGATCCTCATCCTTTCAAAATCAAATTCTTTCTTTCCTTTTAGAGGTCTGACCAATCATGGCTGCACTCTTTCTTTTAAAAACATGGTTTATGATACTTACATCCATCATCAGTGGAGTCCCATATAAACCACTGATCAGTCCCCTAACACCTGCTTAGTTTCACAATATTATAATATCTGGGGCTCCCACACAATTCACTGGGCAGCAAGCCTAATGACTGCATTCCTTGTTCTCTGCTTTCGCATATTTCACTCAGGTTTAAATAGCTTTTAATAAATCAGCATGCTATTTATATAGCATCTGATAAAACGCTGGAGAAATATTTCAATTTCCTTGGCACCGATTTCCAGATCTTCAGACTCTGGCATCAAAGTATGAGATGTCAGTCAGTCTGACACAGCTATGAAACACTATTTTAAAGAATTCAGCATCAGCACCAAACATTTTTGTTCCCTGCACCAAATGTGTGTGTGTGGCCATCAAGTTGTAGGTGATTTATGGCAACCCCATAGGGTTTTCAAGGCAAGAGATTGTTCAGAGGTGGCTCGCCATTGCCTGCCTCTGTGCAGCAGCCCTGGGCTTCCTTGGTGGTCTCCCATTCAAATACTAACCCAGGCTGACCCTGCTTAGCCTCTGAGATCTGACTAGACTGAGCTAGACTGGGCTAGGATTTTTAATTTTTAAAAAAGCAGGCAGTATTTGTCCTCCCCAATCCTTAACCATGAGCTTAGTCAGAAATATGAAATGATTATACACTAACCCTACACTGTAGGATTCTATTTATGGTGGGAAGCAGAGTTACCTTGGGCATGGATTCTGACACTGTATCCAGTGACTGGAGGGTCTGGTGTATTAAGGCTTTGCTCTCATGTGGAGATGCAAATTGCCTGCATAATAAGATAACTGGCAAGTGCTGCAGCAGCAGCGATCTAGTGACTGAAATTCTGCTCACCTGAGGCATTTAGAGTAGGTCGTATCTATGCTGTATCTAAAGTAGGTCGTATCTATGCTGCATTCATCAAATTAAGAGTTTTCTTTTAAGAATGTGAAAAATTCATAAAAGATCAGGTTTTAACACAACTGTGAAAATAATACCCATTTATCTAGTAAAGCCTTCTTTGGAATCCTGATTTCACTGGCTCTTCCCCTCTCATCTAATTCTATCTACAATACAAACTTTGGTTACTTCTATGCCCCCATATCTTGTGGGAGGGGCTTCCACAGAACATCGTGCTCTCTCTCAGCATGACTCTTGGGACTCCAGCAGCTTTCTACTTTAAACCAGAGGCAAAAAAACCTACTTTGACTGATTAAATGGAGGGACTGCAGGGCTCGTGTGGATGTTCTACCCACAGCTAATTTGGAGAGGAGAGGAGAGCTACACTCCACTTTCAAAACGGTGGACTACAGCTAATTTGGAGAGGAGAGGAGAGCTACTTTCAAAACGGTGGACTGAGCTCTGCATTCCCGCACCCCATTTGACCTTTTTGTTTGTGGTTGGGTCATGGATAAAAATGTACTAGAGTACAGAGAAGCAACTTTGACACTAGTTGGGTCGGAGGATAGGTAGTAATCACAGTTGTTGAGACTGCAAATTGGTATTTGCTCACTCCCAGAGAAAAGATCTTGGGTACCCCAGTATGTTACCTTTGTGTCCTGCTCAGTTTTCTGACAATGGCACTTTAACCTCTCCTTCCTATGCCGGTAAAATGGTTCAGAAGTAAGTGGCAAACAGATGCACTCTGGGAACTTATTGTAAAGATGTGCCTTCCAGCATAGTAAGTGGAAGTCCAAGGCTAACCTCAAGCAATTGATTTCATGAAGACTCACTGCTCCATCTTCCCTTTGATAGGGCCCTAAACAAAACAGAAAAACTGGGCAGGCTGTGTTTAAGGGGTTAAGGACACTAGGGACAGGGCTCTGTATAAAGAAAAACGAGCCTGTGCCAATGGAACAGAGAACCTCTCTAAATATTGATCAGTGAGTCAGTAGCTGCCACCATGTTCACATCAGAACAAATTCAATACACGGATAAGTAAGACGTACGAGATACATATCTGGGCTGTATTACCAAATTCCACCCTAGACAGATCCTTATCTGGAAAGTATACATACATTCAGCAGTGAGCAGGATAAAAGCTATCTTTGCACGAGTAGTTACTCAAGTCAATGGGATTTCTACATTAAGCATTAAAACAAATGACGCAAATATGTACTCACTATTTCCTGGCTTTCCATCACCGAAATCGAGTACTTTTGCCTTTCAAAATGATAATAAAAAAGAACAAATTACACCCTTGAATATAAAAGGAACATTACATAGCAATTCACTATACTTACAGCTTTAATAGGTTTGCTTTAATTGAATGAAGAACATTTAATTGTGCTTTTTCTTTTTAAAAAGTTCTTAGTGGCGATTAACATTTTTTACTGCCTTTTGCTACTGATTCTTCTGGTTATAATTCTGCAAATTCTGATGCTAAATGTATACAAGATAGGTATAGAAACAAATGTTCATTTGAGCATTGGCTTATTTTATTTTTTATACTGTATTTTTACAATGGTTGTCAACCACCTCCACAAGGATAACAGGTGGCATAGCAAGGTTTTAAATAAACAAATTCTCACACTTGCACCACTCAATGACTGACAGGAATTTCAGTGAAAAGTAGGATTGTCAGATGGTTTAAAAAAAAATACCAGACAGGCCGAGCCCAAGCACAAAGTAGCAGCCGCGGCGGCTATTGTTTCATGCTTGGGGCCAGTGCCATCTCCTCCAAGGCCAAACAGCATAGAATCATAGAATCACAGAGTTGGAAGGGGCCATACAGGCCATCTAGTCCAACACCCTGCTCAATGCCTTTGGGCGAGATCTGACCCCTGCAGGGCTGCTATTTGGCCCACAAAAAACTGGTTTCCTCCTGCTTCCTGTTCCTAATTCATGTTTCCTGCATCACAGCTTCTTTTGCACAGGCTCTCCTATTTCCTGCTTCACAGAGAAGAGAAAGAAAACCAAGCCTCCCTTCCCTCTATTGGCTGAGGGCTCCTCCCCCTCCTTTGGGGAGGGAGGGGGAGGCAAAGAGCCAGAGAGAGAGAGAGAGAGAGAGAGAGTCCAATGGCACTTTTAAGAAGACCAACAACCTTTTATTCCAGGTATAAGCTTTTGTGTGCAAGCACACTTCTTCAGAGATGGGAGCGGGGGGGAGAGCCAGAGAGAGCACACCATACAGAAAGAGAGAGATGGAATCCCAGGGCACGTGGAGAGATCCCCCTTTCCAGTTCTAACAGATGGGTGGGGAAGAAACCTAACAGCACAACTTGCATTCTTTATTAGTGAAAGGGAGCAAGAATCCAGTAGCACCTTAACAACTAAGTGCCAAAATTTCATGAGTCACTGCTCACTTCTTCAGATACAGCTAGAATGTGAGTCCATCTGTCCTTATATCTTTGAGAGTGAAGTGGTTTCAGATGCCAAATGACAATAGCAGGCATTGGTAATGAGAGAAGAAACCTAGGTCTCAGTTAAGTCCAGGAGTATGCATTGTCTTGATCTTCATTATCAGTTGCAATTCAGCAGTCTCTCTTTCTAATCTCCCTTTGAAATTCCTTTGTAAGAGAACTGCTACTCTTAGGTCAGCAACTGAATGTCCTGGAAGGTTAAAATGTTCTCCCACTGGTTTTTCAATGTTGTGGTTTTTAATAGCACTAGAAAGAGCAAGAGTCCAGTAGCACCTTTAAAGACTAACAAAATTTGTGGTAGGGTATGTGCTTTCGTGAGTCACTGCTCACTTCTTCAGACTTATTTCCATTTATACTTTGCATCTTCCTGAACTGAATCCTCCTGTACCAAACTGAGACCTAGGTTTCCTGTCTCATTACTAATACTGATATTGCCACGCCTCTGTATATCACACCAATGCTGATATCTCCACCCGTCTGCATATCGTACCTAATCCAATCACGCATCCTATTGCCACTTGGCATCTGAAATCATCTTTATAAAGTTTATATATCTGGTACCTCATGTTACATTTTATGGCACACATGGCCTGGCCTGACAAAGTGACATTTATGTCAGATCCAGCCCTCATAACAAATGAGTTCGACACCCCTGGACTAGAGCGTCCCCGACAAGTGTTTGTCCATCTGCTAATTAAAGACTGCCAGTGCTTTGCTCTGCTTGAGCTTGAAGGAGCACCAAGCCAAATATGAAGCAGCAGGCGCTGCTGCTTGTCACTTGGGCTGCCTTGGTGCCACCACCGAGCAGGTTTCGTGCTGTTTGGGCTTGGTAAGATTGCCAGTTGACTCAAAAAGTCTGGTATTTTCACTGACTGTCCAGGAAAATAACTGAAAAAAATACCGGGAATTTAAACGTCAGTGAAAATACCAGACTTCTCCAGGTCAATAATGGACACCTGGTAACCCTAGTAAAGCTAGTAGAAACCAAAACATTTTCTGAATAGAATGGTCTGAATTCTATTCCCGGGGGGGGCAGATTGGGCCACTGGGGGAAACCCCACCCCCAAAATGCCGGGATCGTGGAAATGTGCCTGAAGTGATGATGTCACCCGGAGGTTACATCATCACGCCGGGCACATTGTGGGGGGACGCTCTATCATTCAAGGGAAAACTCTATGGTTTCCCCTCGAATTATAGTGGTCCCGCCTCCAACGTGCCCGATGCGATGACGTCACTTCCGGGGCCAGGGACTCCCGTGCTAAAACTGAGGTAAGACTTGGCAACCCTAGTATGAATCCTAAAGTGGCATTTGCATAAGAAAAAAGAAGGAAGAAAACTGGGGGAGCCTTCTGACCCAGCTCAATAATAAGATGTGAGCTGAGCATTTGCCCTCCTTTTTTCGCAGGTAGTTTAAACCCTGGTTTTGGCCAGAGGCACAAGCCCTTGACAAGACTGGGTGGGCTTGTAGCTTGTGGTCCTGTGCCAGTTATGCTGACACATCCAACATCGGCCTGGAAGCTGCTTTGTGGCTCATCCCTGGTTTTAAGGGTTTTTCCCCCCTCCAGGTTCTATAAACTTTATTGAAACAGAGAAAAAATGTGCAATAAGAGTTTAAAAACAACATACATCAGAAGTTAGAAATCAAAACACTGAAAGATGCTAAATATTAAAGTATACACAAGGATTACTAAATAATTAAAGAACAATGAGTCAACTAAACTCATTTACAATTACAGAACTACAGCTAATGACATATCTACATTGTAAAAGTAGGAACTGTTTGGGGTGGCTGAAGTGGAACATCGGCTCATTGCTTGCTAGAAACTGGTTTTAAATTTGACTGTGGGAGGGTCTGTTGGGTTGTCAGCTTTGTTTAGGGTTTTTTTAAAATTCTTTGATCGTGTTTTAAGTTTATAAGCCGTTTTGAGTCACCAATACAGGAGAAAAGCAGAATAAAATAAAATAAAATAAAGAACTTCCGTTTCTGCAGGGGAAGAGAAGATCCTACGATATTTATCCATTTCCCCACTTGAGCTGCAACTTGCCAAACTGCTACCAAGGGCCCCCTAATCCCAAGGACCAGCTTTTGGGTTGGCGTGGTGTGCCGCAAGTTTACTTTTCCCCATTTAGTTATAAAACAACCTTTCCCCTGAGAACTCAGGGCCCATGTTGCAGGTAGGTACAGAAAACACCCCTTTCTCAAAGGGAGCAGCATTTGTTGGTGTTCGTATTCCGCCCAATGGTGGCAGCTTGCTTCCCTCAGAATTAAAAAATCTGGAATTTCACATTCCCATTTGTAAAGAAATGATAAGTTTGAAAACTTCCGCAGAAAACTTTGTTCTCCCACTTGTCATAGAAAAGGCAAAAGACGACATTTCATACACAAGGAACCTGCTATTTATATAGATAGAGCCTTCAGGTTTCTTACCTTTTGGACTTTTTGCACAGAAGCATAATACTTTGACCACCAGTCAATAACATTTTCAGCGGATTCATCTGCAATGGTTCTCTTTTTTCTTTTGGTGGAACGCCGAGATGATTTTCTCAAGTCCTGGGAAGGAAAAGGATATGGGTGAAGATCATTATACTCCTGTCCCACGTCCTTCAGTCCTCTGCGCACCCACGCACACCCTACGGAACCCTACTGTGCACACAAAGTAGGAATAAGTCTCCTGCAATGTTGGCCAGATGTAGAAACCAGGATCCACCTGTGGACAGGTAAGAATCCTTTGCAGAATGGAAGTGTGAATCAGCTAATATGGGTGCGAATAGTTCTCTTTTTTCTTTTGGTGGAACGCCGAGATGATTTTCTCAAGTCCTGGGAAGGAAAAGGATATGGGTGAAGATCATTATACTCCTGTCCCACGTCCTTCAGTCCTCTGCGCACCCACGCACACCCTACGGAACCCTACTGTGCACACAAAGTAGGAATAAGTCTCCTGCAATGTTGGCCAAATGTAGAAACCAGGATCCACCTGTGGACAGGTACAGAATCCTTTGCAGCATGGAAGTGTGAATCTGTACTATTTCTAACTTCAGAAGGCAGCTACTATGGTGGTGACATCCACCTGCATTTTAATACGGGTGCGAATGCATATCCATATCAAAATGCCATGCATAGATGGACACACGCACAATCCTTTTGTGCATATCGGTCAAGCTCTTAGAAATTCAGAACATCGATGCAGAATTTCGTTGGTTGCACTCAGTGGGTTGTATCCTGCAAACCGTGAATGGCAGCATTTCTCAAAGGTTTCAGGCAAATGTTTTCCCCTTCCCACCACCTTCACTTGGTCTGCAGTCACACACACTAAATAATCCACTTTCAATGCACTTTACAACTGGATTTTGCCAGTTCACACAGTAAAAACCCAGTTGGAAAGTGCACTGAAAGTGGATTGAAAGCGGATTATTTAGTGTGTGTGACCACAGCCATTAATTCCTTTTTACGAGGGATGGCAGGGATCCAACCTGGAATCTTCTATATGAATTTCTGCTATCAAGAAGGGCTGCCAAAAGCCATCATGGACCTCTGACAAATATTCCTTCTCGGCTTCCTTACACCGTCCACACCTTGTCAAGGTTGCCACCTACAGTGTGATTCCCACCTCTCATATTTAGAGTAACCTTTGGTCACTTCAGAAAACATATATGTGAAGTAGCAGTGTTAGTGAGTGCTGATTTGGAAACAGTGTTAGGAAATACTCCTGAATGCCTGCTATTAAATTATGTCCTTGGAATTCTAAAGATAGTCCAATCAATAGTTTTGAGCTGCACATCTAACTTTTACACAATATTGGAAATCAAAAGACTCCAGAAATCAGTGAGGGGCTTGTTAAAATAAGAGAGGTTTAGGGATAAAACTTAAAAGAGTGCTTCAAAGAAATGAGAACTTTGATGAGATACAGTTAAGTGGTGTAGTATAATTATTCGTGTTCGGTTGAAATTGGATGAATTTTGAAAATGTATTCTTGTTTATGTATCTGTTATTGTTTATGTATCTTGTTTATAGATCTGTTCTGTTGAGAGCCAGTTTGGTATAGCAGTTAGGAGTGTGGACTCTAATCTGGAGGAACCGGGTTTGATTCCCCACTCCTCCACATGCAGCTGCTGGTGTAACCTTGGGTCAGCTACAAGTTCAGAGTAGTGAAGGGTGGGGTAGAAATCCAATCTCTTCTTCTTCTTCTTTTACCTCACAGGGTGTCTGTTGCAGGGAGGGGAAGTAAAAGGAGATTGTAAGCTGCTCTAAGACACCTTCAGGTAGTGAAGGGTGGGGTATAAATTCAATCTCTTCTTTCTTTCTTTCTTTCTTTTTTTCTTTCTGTCTTTCTTTCTTTCTTTCTTTCTTTCTTTCTTTCTTTCTTTCATCATTTTTTGATAAAATTGCAAAATTTGGTGACTTAGTTGCAAGGTATCCCTGGACTGTCTTTATGCATGTGGGCTGCATATGTTGCATCACCACACACCAATGCTCCCTCTAAGCTGTGGAGTCTTGTGAGCAAAAATTCTACTTTGTGAGCTACTGGCGTTAAAGTTGTGAGCGAGCGATTTGGCTACTGCATCAATCAGTTTGCTCTGGAGCCATCCTTCCTGAGCTAAGACAAAAATGTGTGAGCTGGAGGCTAAAAAACTGTCAGCTAGCTCACACTAACTCAGCTTAGAGGGAGCACTGCCACACACACACACACACACACACCCACACACCCCTTTCTTTTTGAAAAGGAGATCTATGCTGGACACTGCCTTTAAGGTAGAATATGAATAATTGTATTGGAAGCACTGAGCAGTGGAAAACGCAAAGATCACACAGATGAGTATCCCAGAAAGTGGAAGATACTTACTTTTTGCTTCCCATCCTTAGCAGGTTCAGGGGTAGGAGGAAACACAGGTTTTGGAGAAGGTGCTGGCAGAGATGGCGCTGATGGAGCAGGTGGTGCTACTGGCTCGGGCTCAGGTACAGCTAGCACCGGGGCACTATGTTCCACGTCAACGTAGATATGATCAACCGGAAGCTCTGCAGCCTGAACTGGTTGAAGGGCTTGAGCTAGAGTGTGAAACCAGGAACACAAAACATTAAGTCAGACAGAAAACATGTTCAGTATGCTGGTTTGGAGTGAATGTTGACAGTTTTAGGGCATATCTACAGGACTGGTTTAAACAGCCATTTCCTTTCCCAGTGGAACTCTGAGAACTATAGTTTGGAGGGAGGATTTCCAACAAAACAGAACTGTACTCTCCCCAGACTACATTTTCCACGATTCTTTGTGGGGAGGCTGTGAGAGTTAACATAGTACAGAATCAATATGCGTTGATGTCATAGATCTGTCCATAAAGAACTGCCTTATTCTGAAACTATTTTGGAAGTGGTTAAAAGTAGGGAAGGGATAGGGTGCAAAAGCAATTTGCTCTTCCAGTTGACAATTCTTCTATGGTGCTTTCCGTACTAGACCTTAAATCCTGGTTCAACCCCATCCCCGAACTTACATTCTACACTACATGCGAGTTCACCCCTGTAATTATCTAGGGGTATTTTTTTGTTTCCACATTACATTGGGGTCACCCTGGTTTTGCCCCACACTTGTCCCGGGATAAACAGATGCTGTTATAATCAGGGATAAATGCAAGGTATTGTGTTGCGAGTTGAACTCTGATAAAACCAGGGATGAGATCCAAGTGCGGAAAGGACCTATGTCAGAACTTGACTGTCTCCAGCAGGGAAACAGTGGAGTTGCCAACTCTGGGTTGGGAAATTCCTGGAGATTTGGGGGCGGAGCCTGGGGAGGGTAGCTCAGCAGGGATGGGAGGCCATAGACTCCAGCCTTTGAAGCTGCCATTTTCTCCAGGGGAAGTGATACCTGCAGTCTGGAATTCAGTTGTAATTCCTGGAGATCAGTTATAACTCCAGCCCCCACATGGAGACTGGCAATCCTAGCACACAGCTCTATGCAAACTGCCTGTATGGAAGCCAAAATGGTGCTGGTTACTCTAACCCAGTGCCAACTCTCTCCAAGGTCTGAGGCCCACAGGTCTTTTTTAGCTTTGCCACTTCTCATCCGGAGGTGCCAGGGTTGACCACAGGGCTTTCTACATGCCAGATTTTGCGCTTTACCACTTAGTCGTGGCACTTCATACAAGGAGCAGCATTCGACTGAAAGTCAGCCACTAGCCCGCTTAGACCACCAAAATCTACGAGACAGCAAACAGCATCTCTCCAGAGTCTCAAGAAGAGAGAGATCTTTCTGTCCTCCTTCACCGTGTTCAAGTGGAGAAAACAAAGATATGGGACTTCCCGTTTGGTAGCCAAGGGTTCTAGTGCATTGAGGGATCCAACAGCGCCACCAGAGAAGAGGCATACGGGGCATCTACAATGGAATTATGGCATCGCCAATCAGGGCTCTTTTTGTAGCAGGAACTCCTTTGCATATTAGGCGACTCACCCCTAATGTAGCCAATCCTCCAAGAGCTTACAGTAGCCCCTGTAAGAAGAGCTCTGTAAGCTCATGGAGGATTGGCTACATTAGGGGTGTGTTGCCTAATATGCAATGGAGTTCCTGCTACAAAAAAATCAACCACTTTGATCGTAGTCAGTGCTGGAGGAAGTCCTACTATTCAGGCTAATGTGAGCCAGTGTGCTATAGCAGTTTAGAATGTTGGACTAGGACCTGGGAGAACCAGGTACAAACCCCCATTCTGCCATGGAAGCTTGCTGGGTGACGCTGGACCAGGGCCAGTCACACACTGGCAGCTAGAGGAGAACGGCATAAGTCACTGTGGGTCCTTGTTGGGGAGGGAGGTGGGATATAAAGGAGGTAAATAAATACATAAATTTCCAGGGTGCCCATTAGATCTGTGCCTGACCTGCAATAAGGCAGTCCCTAAAAAGGCATCTGGTCATTTCCTGTATGCGAGCCAGTTTGGTGTAGTGGTTAGGAACGCGGACTCTAATCTGGGAGAACCGGGTTTGATTTCCCCACACCTCCACATGCAGCTGCTGGTGTGGCCTTGGGTCAGTCACAAGTTCTCTCAGAGCTTTTCTCTCACCAGCAGTTCTCAAGAGAGCTCTCTCAGCCCCACCTACCTCACAGGGTGTCTGTTGTGGGGAGGAGAAAAGAAAGGAGATTGTCAGCTGCTCTGAGACTCCTTCAGGTAGTGAAGGGCAGGGTATGCATCCAGTCTCTTCTTCTTCCTTGTACAAAACTAAGGCTCTTGACTGCAAGTTCCTTGGGAAGCCAGGACTTCTTACCTGAGCCAGCGTCTGCAAGGTTAACGTCCTTGGCAGGTGGAGCAGGGAGTTCCTTAGGCTTATATAGAAACTGTTTCAGGCAATTGATGGTGTGTGTTCCAACCAGGGTGCTGCGTCCGAAGGCCCTCCAGTCCACGACGCAGATGCTGAGCGGTGGGTGCAGCAATTCGTTTTCAGGCAGTTCCTAACGGCGGAGACAAATCAGGAGTCCCAGTAAGCTTTGCCTTCTTATGTGACGGTTGCCAGCATTTATTAAAGGGGCCTGTTTAGAACCTGGCATTCATCTGGGATGTATTGATTCAGCCCAGCTACAATTGCACACAAAATCACCTCACTTAGGAAATTTCTCACATTTTGTATTGGTTAGAGGGTCAGACCGGGAACTGGAAGACTCAGGTTTGAATTCCCACTCTGCCATGGAATTTTGCTGGGTGATCTTGGGCCAGTCACTCACTCTCAACCTAACCTACCTCACAGGGTTGTTGTTGTGGGGATAAAACTGAGGCAAGGAGAACAAATTTGTAAGCTGCTTGGGATCCTCTTTGGAGGATAAAAAGCAAGATATAAATGTCTACATTAATAAAAATGGGATGTTTTAAGCTTCCCTTTTGATTCTTAGAGATGTTTTACCTCAGCAGCATCATCCAAATGCACAATTCTTTCTCTATGCAAAATTTGGTGAAAATCAGGAGATGCGCAAAACCCCTTCAGAGAACTATCATCAATCCCATTGAACTTCCTTCTGAATTTCTGCAACTGAGACTTTTTAAAAAATTATACTTATATCTTATTCTTCTATGAGACAGCCCATCCAAGGGATTGGTCAAACCCACAAATTTTATTCCCTACAAAACATCAACCTCTACTAGGGTTGCCAGCTCTGGTGTGGGAAATTCCTGGAGATTTTGGGGGTGGAGCCTGAGGGGGTTGGTGAGGGGAGAAACCTCAACAGGATATGATGCCATTGACTTCCCCTTCCAAAGCAGCCATTTTTCTCCAGGTGAACACTTCTCTGTAGCCTGGAGGTCAGCAATAATTCCAGATCTCCAGTCACAATCTGGAGTTTGGCAACCCTAACCTCTACTTTGTTTGTTTGTTTGTTTTGTGAAAAAAGAGGAAAATTTAGTAGAGTTCAATGCACGTACCACTTCAAACCAGTCTGCCAGGATGTTAAAATTTGGATTGTTTTTGTAGCTCTGAATGACGCACGATTTCACTCCTTTGGCTGCGCACTCAATGAGAACTTGCGGACGGTCCACAGAAAGCAGCTGCACTTTCTTCAGCTCACGAAGACCCCAGAACAGAACCTATGGTGGGAATGATCATGGGAGCGATACTTCACAATGATAAGTGTTCAAAACGTTTTACATTTCAAGGCCAATTCACACATTGTTAAGTCCACGTGTCCCTCACTGTGGACTTTGGGCAGACATGTTCCACAGAGACCCACTTGTGATTCGGACCACAGACTGCAAGGAAAAAGAGCTTCAGTTTTTTCTCTGTGCCTGGAAATGATTTGCCCACTGGGAAGATTTGCATGTACTGATGGCTACCCACAGGGCTATTTTAGGGCAGGAACGCACAGGAACGGAGTTCCGGCTGGCTCCCAAGTTGGCCACGCCCAGCAGGAACTCATTAGCATAATAGGCCACACCCAACAGCAGAAACTCATTAGGATTGGCTACATTAGGGGTGTGTGGCCTAACATGCAAAGGAGTTCCTGCTACAAAAAAAGCCCTGGGTTTTGACAACAAACAAAG